TTGGCTTGACGCCGGCTATATGCTGGCAGAGGAGGACAGCAAGGCGATGCTGGCTGGCAAGGTGCTGGCTGGCGATGGTCTTCTAGGCATGCTGACGTGGCAGCTGCCACGCGCCGTTGCTGACGTGGCCGCTGCCACCTGTATATGATTGATGACGTGGCTGGCTGCGAGGTTGATGAGGCTGTTCTGATTCTTCGTCACTTCGGAAGGAGATCAAGACTGTGGTTATCGAGGATACGTACCTGGTTGATGACGATACTCTCCATTTGCTGATGTAGACAGATTGACGTGCCACGTGGCACCTTGAGGAGGAACTTCAGACATTGTATTCAGTCTATTGATTGATGAGGTGGCGAGGAGGAGGAGGAATCCGAAGTAGAAGTGGGCTGTTGTCTTCTTCTCTCTCCTTTGTCTATTCTCCCTCTCTCCTCCTTTGTTTGTGTATGATTCTCACCTCATTCTATCATCACATATATTACGATTATTTGTCATTTCATCAGCAGATCGATAATCATAGGGACTGGTAATGTTGACGAGTATCATCACGTCTGGGCTCATTGCATACTAGACTACTGTTTCCCAATCTCTCACACAGCCCATTGCACAATGCAGAGAGTTCTCACCTTCTGCCTAGTTCTAGTGGAGTACCCTCCGTTCCTCTTCCGATACACGGTATTTTACAATGAGATGGGTATAGCTAACCTACAAGACTACTATTTCTCAGTCTCTCGCACAGCCCATTGCACAACGCAGAGATTTCTCACCTTCTGTCAAGTTCTAGTGAAGTACCCAATGTGCGGTATTCACAATGGAGTAAGTCCCGCCCACATCATCTCTCAACTTCGCAACGTGGACTTCATGCTCTGGTGGACTTCCGTCGTAATCGCGAGGTGGAGGCCATCCCTCGCAGGGGAGGCCGCATAATCCTCGACGGTTGCCTGCCGGGCTGGCGCAGCCCTCGAAGCCATGTCTCCGGATCCATAATGAAGGAGGGGTGTGTGAACCTCTTGTTTTCCGGAAGCCGCTTGTTGAGCAGTGCGAGGATCTCGATCGTTTCCTTGTAAGTGGTTGTAGTCTCTTCCGGGTTGCAGCGGGAGGTTGTTGTTTTTTTTTTCTTTTTTTTTTTTTTCTTTTATAAAACAGCCCTCGATAGTGCTAACGATGCTGGTGAGAGCAGTCATCGGTAGCACCTAGGTGGGGAGGCTCCAGTCTATTGGTGGGGAGCAACACCTGCTGGGAATCGGGCCCAGCGTCCCAGAGTACAGGTAGGGATAAGCAATAGAAGGAGTAACGGGGGTCTCGCCATTACCCAAAGGCAATGGCGCCTGCGCCACGGTTTGCCCAGGGGCACCTAATCAGGTTGGCCGCCGCTGAGGTCCATTCTGCCGGGAGGCGTTAGCACCCAGCCACAGAAGGGATTATCAGGGGCGGCGAAACCTGCTATGCCCAGAGGCAAACCCCTCACTCCCCCCGAGAAGAATGCCATATCAGTCCACCATCACAACCCGTTCTATTAGGTTACCGTAAGTTCTAACCACTAAAACCACCTAGGTGTATCTGCTTGCCTCCAAACGAGGCAAAAGTTTCCTTTTTGGGGCCATCTGGCCTCTACCAATTGTCACACTATCTGTCGAAGATAGTAAGCACCTTACTCGCATGGGCCACACGCAACTTTTTGCACCAGTTTCAGTACTCTAGCCAACACATTCCCAGTTCAGTACAGGGCTTCACCCTGGCAGCGTTCGAGCTAAAAGAGCGTCTCATTAAACATGCTGTAGTCCTCCTATTTCTATTCTCTTATCACAACTATCCTACAAGGTATATATTCTACTTCCCGCCCGACCTTTCCTACCTGGTCACAGTTGCCACTAATTAATCCTTACTGTGTTTCCTCCGAGGGGCCGATCCCGACGTCAGGGATCCATTCCCAGGACCCAGGCTGGTTGTGGAGATGGACGAGCTTAGAGTAGGGCGCCCATGTTTGCTGAAGCAGCGACCACGCCGTCGTCGATTTCCTTCGGATGTTAGCAGCGATGGCTGCTCGGAGGTTGGCAAGACTCATCGCCCTCAAAGCCACAAAGGTGGGAGGGCGCTGTTGGAAGATGAGTTGTGTTCTGAGCGCCCAGACCTCGCCAAGAAAAGCCGCTCTAATGATCTCAATAGCATACGCCCGCTGTCCTCGAATAGGGGGGCTTCGAAGGGCCGGGCCGACAAGCAGGCAGTCAGCCCAGTCGTCCGGGAACATCCCGTCGGAGTCTCCCCTGATCGCCTGCTTCCACCACTGCCAATATTGCTGTTGCGGGGGGCAGCCGCTCCACACGTGGGGGATGTCTTCGCAGTCCACAGCGCAGTGCACGCATTTCCCATCTGAGTGGGATGAACGCTTCGCAATCCACTGGTTTGTCGGGAGCGCCAAGTGGATATTCAGCCAGAGGAGGCCTGCGTGCTTGAGGTTGGGGAGCGTTTGGAGGCGGCTGGCCATAGACTTTCATGCAGCTGAGGTCCACTGAGCGGCTGAGGTCTGCTTAAGCCAGCCCCGCCTGGCCCAGCGGTATTGAAGTTCTCGGTCCATTCTGTAAGGAACAGACAGCGTTCGATAGATAACTTTGGTGGACACTTGATGCAGCGGGAGATCGCGGCGATGGAGGCCTTGCTTCCGCCAAGTCCACATGGCCGAATCGACTGCCAGCTGGGCCGGACGCTTCTCCGGGCGGAAGAAATGATGGGTGGTCCGGGCGAGGCCTTTTCTGTCCGTAACCACCGAGACTGCTCTGACAACGTTCCAGGGGATCCATCCATCTCTGGCCAGGGCACTGACCAAAGGTTGCCCCAGGGCGGAGTCAGAGGGAGGATTCTCCCAGGCTTCAGCAATCAGCCAGGTACTGTCAACTTGCGCCGTAATCTGAAATAGCAGGCTGATCGGGTCTTCCGAGCTGAGCGTCACCCATTCCTTGTCAAATCTCTGCGCCGTTCGGCTCGTACCTAAGTTCTTACAGGTGACTGTAGTGAATATGGTGAAGGCATAGTCTTACCCCATCAGTGATGGTGGAAGGTCGAGGTTCAAAGGGTTTGGTTGTTCGCCGATGAAAATGGTAAACTCATTGCCGTGTCAGACGAGTAATCTCTGACCTTACTGGAAATCAAAATCAAATGCTCTCACAGTTTTTTTTGTTTTTTTTGTTTTTTTTTCCACACAAGGCAGCTCCGATCTATTGGTGGGGAGCATCACCTGCCGGGAAACGGGCCCGGCGTCCCACACAGAAGAGGGAAGGGTGGAGGGAGGAGAGGGGAAGGGGGTATCAGGTCTCTCCTAAGGCAGAGCTGCCGGCGGCAGAGGCCGGCTTCAAGCGAAAGCGGAGGGACCCACGTGCTGTGAATCGTTATTGTCGGGAGGCACATGGTGCACCCTGTCACAAGAACGGAGGACAGACCCGGGTCGTCTGCGAGGCTGGAAGCGGTCTCCTCGCTCCCCCCTTAGCAGTCCAACATCAGTATCATTGGCGCCGTTTGCCCCAAAGGGGCCCAATAGTTGTTGATCTTTGCAATGGTTGCGTAACGGTGATTGCTGTACCGTGTACTATTCTACAATGCGTCATTATGTCGATCAGGCCCTACCTGCAAGCATGTTAAGAATCTGACAGCTGTTTGCAATGGTTAAAGTAGTTGTTTCCCACACCCAGTTGTGGTGTCACGTCCCATTCCCAAGTTGTAATCTGCACTACTCCTATACCAGCTCCCAGAGAATAGGTACAGTGGTTCCGAACATACATCCGATTCCCACACTGAGGTCCTCGCTACCTATGGTGCACCAAGTTCTACTGCTGCTATGTAGCCTACAATGGATTTACATCCTACACCCAATTATACTGCCACGTCCCATTCCCAAATTGTAATCCTCACTTGCTCGCATTCCCACGCTGAAGTCGCCACGGCTTGTAGTGCATCAAGTTCTGCTGCTACTACCTAGTTTTAGCTAGTGCTTCTGATTGGCCGGAGTGGTTGCTTTACACAAGGCTCAATCTAATGGTCTCATGTCCCAGATCAGTCCCCTTCTTCTCGCACTTCCGGCGGGTCCCACCTCCATTTCCATAGGCCAGGGGCGTCCCCAATTGTAACCAATGCAGAGTAGGGGGCCCAGGCCGCTTGGAGGTATGGCCAGGCCGATGGGGGTTTCCTTYTGACGTCCAACGCTATGGAGATTCTGAGATTTGCCAAAGTCATGTTCCGCAATGCAGGAAAGGAAGCCCGTTTGTGTTGGAAGATACTTGCTGTTCTGAGCGCTTAGACCGCTCCGATGAAGGCCGCCCTAATAACTTCGATAGCATAGGCTCTTTCTTTGCGAATGTTCTGCTGGCTGAGGTAGGGGCCGATCAGCAGAGAGGTCATCCATTCTTCAGCGGTCATGGTCCGGGAATCGCCTCCGACCGCCTCTCGCCACCATGTCCAAAATTGATTCTGGACCGGACAGCCAGCCCAGAGGTGTGGAAGGTCCTCTGTTTTGGCTAAGCACTGGGGACACGAAGGGTCTTTAAATGATGTGCGGGTTGCGAGCCATTGCTTGGTGGGGAGGGCGAGATGCAGGTTGAGCCATAGCAGGCCAGCGTGTTTCTGATTCGGCAGGAGCTGCAGTCCGGTGCAGGCCTTGCCCCAAGATGTCTCATTCCACGTCGCGTCAATGTTCTGCGGCAGGCAGTTCCGTTTCTGCCATCGGGCCTTGATCGCGCTCTGCATGGGGGTCGGGGATGTTAGCGAACGGTAAATAATTTTGGTTCGCGTTTGGTGAAGGCGTTCAGGCTTTCTTTGGGAGCCCTGCGGCCTCCGTTCCCACATGGAAGGGTCCACCGCTAGGGATAGTGGCCTGCAGGCCGGGTGGAATGACCTGTAAACGGGGGTCAATGTGCGGGTCTTGTCCCGCAGAACCACCACGGAGCGGATAGCATCAGCAGGAAGCCAGCCATCATATTCTGGTTTCCTTTGCAGAGGTGCACAGATATGTCGGTTAGTGGGTGAGGCCAGGCCCTCGGGCTGCCAGGCTTCTGCCAGAAACCATTGCGAGCCAACTTTGGCGCGTAGCTAGAAGATGAGCCAAGGCGGGGTGCTGTTTTGCAGGGTATTGGTCTGGAGGACCACCCATTCCCCGCGATATCTCAGGCCTGATCCGAGCATGGCTATCCATTCGTCCGGGATGGCCTGTTGAATGCATTTGAGTCGTGTCAGTTTATCAGTCTGTCCCCGCAACGTCTCCGTCATCAGGTCATCGTCCTTCCAGTCCCCGTTGGTTTCGTCCCATATGTCAGCGACCCGGCCTATCCCGGCTGCTAGCCACACCCTACCAAAGGCTCCTTTGGTCTTCATCCAGGGGAACGGACGACCTTCAGCATCTAACATCATGGGGTTATCGAAGAGGGGTTGCTGAAGTATCTGATCCCTGGACGAAGGTGGGCGGAGGCGAAGAGGAGATAACTTTCTCCACAGTGGAAGTGTGGGGGTCCACAGTGCCCCCCGCTTGAGGTTGCCCAATAACGAAGGCTGTAGAAGAGCCGTTTCCATATCCGCGGGGTGGAGGCGCATGGCATCTGCCATAGTCTGCAGAGTCAATATTTTCCAGGGGGAAGACTCATCCTCTAGGAGCAGCCAGAGGACGGTGCGCAAGTGTAGTGCTCGGATCTGATTAGAGGGGTCCAGTATGCCAAGTCCCCCCGAGGCCATAGGTTGGATGAGCTTGTCCCATGCCACCCGGTGGATAGTTGTCGGTGCTAAAGGGTCATTTTTCCAAATGAATTTCACCAGATTAGTCCTATAGTTTCKTTGTGCCTGCTGACCAGGCATCGAGACCGCTCCAGCGTACCACARCATCGAGGAGGCCGCTGTATTGGCCAGGAGGGCTYGGCCAAATACCCCCGCCTGAAGTCGTTTGGCACAGTACGCCATACGGTTGGTAGCTTTTTGCATGATGGCCTCGATCTGAGTGCCATTCGATAGTGCATCCGACATTACAATCCCTAGATACACAGCGCTGTCGGCGATGGGCTGTACTCGCATACCGTTAAAGAGGTCGACCGCATTCATGTCCGGGAGCAGTGCAACCGATTTATGCCAATCCAGCTTTGCTCCCGCAAAGCGCTCAAATCGCTCGATCTGAGTTCTAAGTGCCTTTACGCTAGTGGGGGTGAGGGCAGTGATTGCCCCTGTGTCATCTGCAAAGGCCGAGCTCTTTCATTGCCTGCCGTGTGGAAGGGGAAGGCCTATCAGCTCACTATCTGCACGAAACATTTCATGGAGATGTTCAATAAATAGCGCATACAGCGCAGCGGATAGTGGGCAGCCCTGCCGGACCGATCATGTGATTCTAATTTTCTGCGTAAGGAATCCGTTGATCAGTAGCCTAGACTCCGCAGCACTAAAAAGTGTGGTAATCATATTAACAAACTTGTGGCCCAATCCCCTCCTCAGAAGTGCTTGCCATAAGAAGGGCCAAGAGACTCTATCGTACGCCTTTTCGAAGTCCAGCATCACGAAAGCCAAGGGGGGCTGCAAGCGCTGAGCGTGCCACAGTACCTGCTGCGCTAGGAGGACACTGGTGATGATTCTGCGGCCAGGGATAAACCCTGTTTGCGTCTCGTCTACTATTTCCGGGAGCAATGTTTCCAAGCGATTAGCCATAACTTTGGCGAGCAGCTTATAGGGGGCCGAGAGTAGTGAGATGGGCCGCCAGTTCCGAATTTCCTTTAGGGGGCCCTTCTTATGTATCAAGATCACCGTGGCCAGCGCGAAATCAGGTGGGAGGGCCTCTTGGCCAAGCCATACCGCATTGAAGCCCAGCAACAGGTATGGGCCAAGGAGCTCAAAGCAGAGTTTGAGATGCTCTGCCGACATTCCATAGGGGCCCGGCGCTTTTGCGGCAGGCATGTCAACGAGAGCAGCAGACAGTTCTCCGTCCGTAATTGGTTCGTCCAATCTCTGACGATCTTCTGGGGATACCGTCTTAGTGATTTTACTCCAAATGAGGTGTTCAAGAGTCTCCGGAGGGTCTTTCGCACCAGCGGGTTTTTCCTCAGAGAAGAGGTACCGATAGTACTCTTCCACGTAGTGTAAGATTGTCTGTGTGGAATCCGCTGTTGGCTTAGAGTCGTCAAAGGGGTGGTTAATAGCAAGCATCAGTGAGGGGGGTCTGTCCGCGCGCAGTTGGGCGAAGAAAGTTTTGGACATGCGTTCTGCCGCCACAGTCCAGTTCGCTTTGTTCTTGCAGGCCCACAAGTCAGGATCTGTGATCTGCCATTCTTCCCACTGGGTTTTGAGGGCTGCCCACTGCGGCCACCAGTCATTCTCATCGTCCTGGGGACCCGGTCCATCTCCTAGGTCAAGCGCCCGCTGGGCGAATTCCTCAGCAGTGCGTCTCCGAGCCCGTCTGGATGCCGCGGCGCGTGCCTTGAGCAGCCGGACGAGGGCCGCAGTGCCTTCCATTAACCACGTCAGGGTCGACTGGGAGGGAGATCGCAGCTCCATCCAATATTCCCAATGCTGTAAGATGAAAACCCTATATGCCGGATACGAAAAAATCCATGCGGGGACTGTCGCCGAAGGGGGTTTGGTCTTGAGTTGGGAGGGGATGGCAAACACGGTGGATATCATTTTGTGATCGGAGCGGGCAACGGGAGTGATGGTGAAGTCTAAGAGATACGTCATCAATTCTCTTGTTGCCCAGGCCATATCTATTCTGCTACGTTTTCTGAGGGAGGGACCTACCCATGTAACACCCCTTTGATGGGGCCATAGCGAGCGAAATGCATCTTCTAGGCCCATCTCGTTAAGAGTGTTGTGCATAGTTTGGATGTCCAATCTATGCTGGGGGTGCTCATCCGGCCGGAGTGGGGGTTCTGTGGTCGTATTATAGTCTCCGATCAGGATCAACTTTGCTGTATCCGGGATAGAGGCGAGTAGCTGGGCCAAAAATAAGCACTTTTCCTGAATCTGAGACACCTCAATTCGAATCTTGTTGAAACCTTTGCACGGGAAACAGACAAGCCACTCACAGGAGTGCATCTGGCATAAACCGTGGCAATAACTAATCGTTCCCCCTCGATGTCCACGTAGACCCATGCCCACCGGCCCAATGTGCACTTCCCCCCTGAAGTATTTAGTGCAGATTATGGCTACACCCCCGCAGTTCCTTCTGCCGGGGCCCATAGTTGGAACCTGCCCCTTACTGGCGGGAGTTGGCCGTCCGTTAGTCTTGTGTCATTAAGTTTGGTCTCCTGAAGGCAGAGGATCTGAAAWTTTTCCCTGTCCATTAGTCCTTTCATTTTTCACCATTTGGCTGAGAAAGATGTGGGGCCAAGTCCTCTGACGTTAAGCGAGGCAATTTTAATGGTTTTGGTGGTTGCCATCTTTGCACTAGTGCGTGCACCTCTACCGGGCTATGAGGGGGAAGCGGTCGTTATCCTTCAAAGGGTTGCGCTAACAAGCATTACGATCAGTTCCTCACATCGACACAGCCAAGCCCAAAGGCCAGCTAATATCAATACTCTCACAAGCCATTAGTCACTGATCTCGGGCCGTGGTTGCGAAACAGGCCATCAGCAGCCATACTGGCGTTATCCTTCAGAGGGTTGCGGTACAAGGCGTTGTGATCATAGGAAGTATATGCAATTCCACACATCAATACGGCCAGTTAATGTCAATACGGCCAAGTAATAGCCAATCACAGGTCATTAACCGCAATTCCGTTTCCCACCGACCATCATCAGCCATTCCAGTTCCCCCCCCACAGCAGCAGCTGTTCCATTCCCGTCACCATCTGCACTAGCTTCGCAACCAAGACCGAATCCATAAAGCGAAAGCCGCTCCCCAGGGCAAAAGTTGTCAAGGATTGCAAGAAGAGAAAGGCAGATTAGTTCCAGATTCCAAAAAAACGCTTAATTCCACAAGGCAACAATTGTTCCAAATCCTAGGAGTATTCACAATTGCGCAACCCTCAGCGTACAAATTGCAGGAGTACTCACAGTTCCCCCCAGGGCAACAATTATCCCAAAGCCTAGGAGTATTCACAAGTTTGCAACCCTCAGCTTGCAAATTGCAGGAGTGTTTACAGTCCCCCCCAACCCCAGCTCTTATTAGCGTACCAGGGCAAGAGTTGTCCCAGCACACCACCCTACTATAGCAACCGTCCCAGTGCACATCAAAGATTGCAGCAAGAAAGGTCAACTTGAAGCAATTGTCCCAAGTGTGTACCCAACTATAGTGGTGATCCTAGCCGTATGGCTCAGCAATTGCAAGGCTATTTACAGTTTCCCCAGTCGCCCGCCCAGCCCTCTTGGCCGTGTGATCTGAGCTCCAACAACCCAATTACCAGGAGTATTTACAATTTCCCTATTCTCAACTTGCCCTTGTCGAAATGTTCCCCGTCCTCTCCAGTTCAAGCTGTAGCTAGTATAGTTAGGCTCGGGTGTCAAATTACCACAGCCAAACTAGTTCCGGATTCCAAAAAGCCCGCTTAATTCCACAGGGCAACGATTAATCCACGTCATCACCCAGCTACAGCCGTCCCAGGCCCTAATTATTGTTCAGGGCGTTGACTCGGCACTCAGGTCAATTCCTCACGACAGTCATTGTTCCAATTGGCGGGGTCCTTGCCGTAGTTATCTATGCTAGCATCGATCGGTGCACCCAATTCTAAGCTCTAATCGGCCGTCAGAGGAAGCTCTAATCACCAAATACCTATGAAAGCATGCACATACTAGTGTTGTTGCACACAGTTCTAAGCTGTAACCACCGAATACCTATGAAAGCATGCATGATTCCCTGTCGCAAATCATCATGGATACATTCACAATTTATCCAATTACCTATCACGGGTTGTCGTATCGCAGTTTGGACAGGGTTGTCAGTATTCCACACTTGTTATCATCATGTACAAACAAACGGTATATTACACGATGGACACTAGTCCTATCTAAGACCTGAATCCCTTACTACCATTAGACGACCCTGCTGTCCACGGCTGGATGGAGTCAAGTAYGAGGGGCAKCATCCGGCCTCGTCTTTCGACCTACAGGYCGCGGCCCCCGCAGCCATAGCTGCGGATCATCAGTGAAGGATGGGTGTGTGAAGCGCTTGTTCTCGGGGAGCCTCTTATTGAGGAGGGCCAGGAAGGAGGYCGATTGGCCAAGCTGCACGGATTGTTCTATSACAYCCCCAGCCTCCCTGATCAGAGGGAGGAGGTCGCACCATGTGAAGGCCAGGTCCTGCGGAGGGAAGAGATTGCGCATGGTTGGTTCTGCACGGAGCATGAAGCAGTATGCCCCTATGGTCTGTGTAGCGGAGCCTTTCAACAACAATCTAATCGCTGATATCCCCTTGATGGGCGAGATTCTATACGCGGGTCCCGCCGATCGTTCCGTCACGGCTACAGCTCGCTGCATAGAGGGGTGATGTTCAGCCACCTTGACGAATGGGATAGCCGGTTCTTGCGACGTCTCAGGCTGGCTGTATAGCATAGCCTGCACCTTGTCCTCATACAGACGGCAGACAATAGGGACTATGCGAATCCGGCCCTGCGATCGGAGTTCATCAAACCTCCCATCAAGGAGAAGTATGCGTGCGAGTTGCATGCGATCGTGCGCCTGCGGCTCCTCTTTCGGGAGTCCTCTCAACGACTGCCCCAAGCTTTGCTCTTACATGCTTTCGTCATCCGGGGAGGACGAAGGCAATGGGTCTGGGGGTGACAGCTTTGCGGGTTGTTAGAGCTGTCAGGCCGCAGCTTACTCGGGGGGGGGGGRGGGGAGGGGTTGAAAGACAGAAGGGCCTTGAGGAGGGGGAAGAGGAAGGGCAGGTCCCAGGGTTTGGGAGGCAGAGCTCGTAATCTCCACGAAGTGCTGCCAAACCTTGCCCCCCGGGTTCTGCATCGGTTTACCTATCATCGACTCAGAGGTCTTCCTCCTTTTGTCGTGTTCAGATTCATCCGGTAAGTCAACAGGCGATGCCTCCCTGCTCGTCCGACCCCTGCCCTGCCTGCGCTGGCGGCCGCGCTTAGAGTTCGTGCCCCGACTGCTCTGCGATGGCCGTTCCTCTTGGCCTCGAATTCCTTCCTGTGGCTGGGGGGGCACGATCTTGAGGTCGTTGATGCCTTTGGGGAGTTCAAATTCAGCTTCCGGTATAGGGTCTGGCATGGCGACCGCTTGAGGAGTGGTCTTCTGCTGATGGCGTCCTATTTTGTCCTTCTGGCTGCTATACCTGCCCCTCGAGGCCGACCCATAACAAAGCACCCTGGCCTTGGGCTTCCTGTTGGCCTTTTGGCTATGGGGTTGCATAAGCGAGCCGGTGTCACCCGCGGCTAAGCGTCCCCGAGTACTCTTTGGCCTTCCTTTCGGCTTGGGGGGCGGGGCCGCCACCTGCTTGCCGCGCCCCAATCTGCTCACGTCACCACGTTGCTGCTGCCTCCTTTGGTGCTGAGCGTTCTGATCGTAGCGGAGCGGTTCCTGCTCGGCTCGCTCCGCACCTTTAGCTTGCCCTTCTTCCAGCCCAGAAGTTGTAGTCGTCTTTCCTTCCTCCCCTACCTTGAGCTTCTCGTTCCGATCTCCGTCTGTGTCCCTCTTTTCCTCCCCAGCCGCTCCACCCCCCATAGCACCTGCCTCCTCACGCCGCTGTTCCGACCGTTGGTGCTGGGTCTTTCGACCCTGGAGAGGAGGCACCTGGTCAGTCTGCTTCGAGCCCTTCGAGCCCTTATCCTCATCACCCTCGCTGTCGTCAGCTAATGCTCCAGGTGTCACCTCCCGGTCTCCATCGCCCTCCTTCCGGTGCTGACGGAGCGGCTCGTAGGGTTGCGGATTCTCCCCGCGTCCATCCTTATCCACCTGGTCTTCGACTTTTGCCGATGTGTCCTGCTTCCATACCCGGAGGCGTTGATCGATGGTCTGCTCATCCATGTCTTCGCAGCATTCCATTGCCACCGGATGGTTGTTGTCTTCTCGCTGTTCCCCATCTTCTCTTACCACAGCCTGTTCAGAGTGAGTATCCCCCGACAAGACGATAACGCCTCGGGGTGTTATACAGGCTTGATGGCTCAGGGGCCGGGATCCCGCCGGCGCCTGGGGCTGCGGGCCACCCCCCTGCGACTGAGGCTGTGCGGCATCCGGTGCTTGTTGGTGCAGTGGTGGTGGTACTTGGTATGGTGGTTGCTTCTGTTGTTGGCGCTGTTGTTGGCGCTCTTGCTGCATGCGTTCGGCCCAATGAATGTGATCCCCGGTTTATGGCTGCATGCCGGACTTCTGACGGCCATCGTGATGTCGGTCTGAGGTTGCCTGCGGGAGTTTCTGCCGCTCCTGCCCTCCTCGTCGGTGCACTTCCTCCCGTGCTTGTGATTTCTTCGCAGGCGCTTTGTTGGATCCCTGATCCAGAAGGGCTGCTTGGCGTGACCGGGCTCCCCTGGCTCCATCAATGTTTTGAGAGTGCCGTGGGAGAGATGGTTGAAGAAGTCAGCGGTCACCCACCTCCATCACGTCGCCCAGGCTGGACTCGGTGGCGATCTCGGTATAGATCACRTTGTCGAACTCMWTTTCGAAGTYCTCCCAACAARCAGTTTCCGTAGTGTCGTCACTKGGAAGGCCTGGGTCRGCTCGCAGCAGCTGCTCCCTACGGGCCAGTTCCTCCTTGGTCTCCGCCATAGTTAAGCAACGACCCCTACGTGCGAGATGCACGTGCCYTCGGCAGTTGTCGCACCATGGGGTCTCACTTGTAGCACCCCTAACCTCTGGCCGGCCGTAGTACGCTTGCGCCACCGCCAACCGCTCCAATCCCTGCGAGCGCAGWGGGGGGTAGAGGTCGAATTTGATTGTCTCCCTACCATCCCCATCTACCGCCCAGGTGCCCTCGGGGTTTCTGACTGCCCCAAAGAATGATTCAGCTAACTGTCGGAGCATGAGCACCGCCATGGGAGGGGGCTGAACAAACCGTACCCATGGTTTCGCCTTCCGCTCTTGCAGCCTCTCCCACTTCACCTCTACTGGCGATTTCCATGATGTAAATCGAACGAAGTACGTATGATCGCCTAGTCGAATCCCCTCGATCCCCCGGTCATGGAGCAGCCAGTTTCGCAGCGCAGCCGTGGGGGCCCAGTAGAAGACCAGAGCCCCACCCTCCACTATCGCCCGGCCTTTGTACGAAGCCTGGCCTTTCTCGGGCCAATTCTCCAGTTCCCAGCAACGTATCCAATCGAGCTTGGCCCGAGGCGCCAGATCCTTCAGAGGTCCCTCGAAGAGCATCACTATTATATGCGCGCGCATATACGTCATTTGCGCAATCGCCATTTTCTCCTCAACCTGGAGAGTGAGTTCGCCATCCACACTCTTAATGCTCACTGCGGGATCCTTCAGAGAGTCAGGGCCGCTTTCCTGACCGCTTTCATTATCTTCCAATCCGTGCGGCGTCCTTGTGACGGACCCGCTTGAAGGTGGTTTACCTCCAATCCCTCCGCACCTTGCCCCTGCACCTCCATCATACTCCCCTCTGCTCAGTCCCACTGCTCCTGGAGTCTTCGCCGTCCGTTGTGTCGTTATCACTTGAGGAGAGACCCCACCGTTGACCCTGCGGGTTGCGGGGTCGTAGGGGTTGTCTCGATTCCCCCTGCTCCGTCTCCTGGGGGGGGGACCGTGGCCGCCCCGGCTGCTCGACGTCTCGATCCTGTTCCGCCTGCTGCAATGGGTGTTGCTGCCCTTCTTGGTGCCCCTGCCCTTGCTGCATTCCTTGTTGCACTCCTTGGCTCCGTGCAGATCCTGAGGCTCGCTGCCGTGATTGTTGTAGTACTTGTTGCCGAGGCCGAATGGTCAGTGTCGAGAGTCGATGGAGTCCCCGGCCCGTCCGTTGGCGTCGGAATGCTGCTCGGAGCTCCTGATGGGCTTTCCTGTTGATGGACAGGTTGCGCCTCACTGTCGTGATCACTTCGTCAGTCGTGCTGCCTTCCGCGCTAAAGTTGTCTTCGTCCTGGCGCCCTCGGTGGGCCGGGTGGCTTCCCGACGGAGTGAATGCTAATAGCCAATTTTCATCATCCCGAATGCGATTCTCTATCCTCCTAATTTTCGCTTGCACTCGCCGGCGTTCCCTGTGAGACATCCACCGAGCCAGAGCCGATGTGGCTATACTATGCAGGTCGCCCCGCCGCCCTATCTCAATGGCGACGATAAGTGTCGCTAGCCGATCAATCCAGGCGGCAGTGCTAAGTGTCGTCCACCAGGTTGCTAGCTTCTCGCCTCCAAAGAGCAAGCATCGGCATGTGACGTAGGCCAGTGCCCATGTGCACCCTCAAATCGCCGCACACCCAATTTCCACAATCGTCGCCCTCCAAACTAGCGATACAGTGCCCCACAGGGCCAACCCTATTTGTCGTATGCCCTCCGCTTGCTTAGCGAGGGTCCATCCTAACAGCAGCAGACCAATCCCCCATAAGCGCTCCCAATCATCCATTCCCTGTCAGGTGGCTCCGTATCTCCCCCACCTATCCTCCGTGCCATTCTGGAGGCCCACTAGCACTTTGTTGTCCGCCGCGTGTCGTCCCTCCTCCGTTTTCTTTATCCAACGCTCCCCCCTTGCCTCCCCGGGTCTTGTCTTCTCCGCTTGGTCACTTCCGCAGTCTTCTAGAGCTTTGACCGTCTCTCTCCTTCGCCCGCAAGTACCTCGCTCTCAATCGTGCATTCACCTATCTGATTGCTCCGCGTCTACCCCCGCCTACCCTTCATGCCGTTTTGTAGGCGCACTAGCGCTTTGTTATCCGCCGAGTGTCGTCCCTCCTCCGTTTTCTTTGTCCAGCGCTGCCCCCTCGCCTCACTGGGTCTTGTCGCTCCATTTGGATACTTCCGCAGTCTTTCAAGCGTTAACCGTCCCTCTCCTTCGCCCGACAGCGATTCCATCATTTCGCTGGCGCTTGTATCATCCCTTGTTTGTCGGACCTTCCGATCCCATACCACCTATCAGTCTGTCTCGACCACTGTTATGCACGCTTGATTGGTCGCGTTCCCCTCGAGCTGGCCCTCTGGAGATTCCTCATCCCATGTCAGCGTTGACCAGCCTTATTGCGCGATCAGCCCCAGGCGCTGCGTCCGAGTTCTCCCCTCACCTAGGCTTTTCCTCTCACTGCCACCCTCTCCACCCTGAGCGGTTTCACCGAGCCCACTCGCTCACTCTCTTCCTGCTACCGTCCCCTCGCGCCTCGTTTTCCGGAGCGCCGTTCGTCTATCGTGTCCCGTCTTTCTACTGGCGCTTTTCCATCCTTGCTCTATTTTACACTCCCATCGCCATCTTCAGCGCGTCACCCCTAGTATTCCCTACGGTTCCACTCCCCTATCGGCTTCCATACTTCTTTCKCCCTGCCCGCTTTGAGTAGTACACTCCTCCTATCGTGGGTATCTCTCGCGCGCCCTGGTCGTCGAGGGCGCTGCACTCCTTTCTTCCTTGCCCTAATTGGCACCACTCCCTCCCCTCCCCGTGTTGTGGGTCCAAGCCCCTAGCCACGTGTACACTCCGCCCATGTTATCATGTCACCGCTCCGCTCGATATGGACAGCGTCGTTGTCAGCGGGAGTCGGTCAAGCCCAACGTGTTACCGCCATAACCCTACTCTAATATTCCACCGCTATCCTCTCCCTCACCCCTCCACGTATACTCCCCACTCTCCCCCTCTCCACTCGCCTCACAGTTTGTATTCGTGCTCTCACAATTTTTTTTTTGTTTTGTTTTGTTTTTTTAAAAAGGGTTGTAGAGGTGTCGGGGATTATTATCCAGGGAGGATGTCCGTCAGAGGGATTTCCGCGCTGGGGTCAGCCCTACTGATGGTGTAGCGGGCCCACCCACTTACCCAGTGATCCGTCAAGGAGAGAGCTCACAAACCTCGCTACCCACCCGGGAGTATCAGCCCAGACCGGCGCTACCAGGCCGCTGCGTCGGGGGTCACCCAGCACCCACTCAGGGCTTCACCTCCCTGTGGCTCCACAGCCGGGAAGCATTAGCACCACAGCCACCGTGGTGCCGCAGGGACGCGCCAGACCCTGCTAGGCGAGGGATGACCCCCTCACTCCTCCCGCACGCTCCAACTGAGCCTGCCCCTCTCGGAGCCACTCCCCCCCCATGGCCTCAACAACCCCAAGGGGAGGCACACGCTCAACCGTTACGGGAACCCAGGAAGTACGGTTGGGTTGTCAGCATCCAGTGGGCACCCTTGCAGGTGGCTCCCCAGGTCCGGAGCTGAGCGGTGGACCCCGGTGTACGACCGTGCCCCTGGGAGCGCGCACGCTCAGTTTGTGAGTGGTAGTGCGTCAACCTAACGCCGTGCCGGAGGCATATGCACGAGGTTGCGGATTTGAACTCGCAACCTCATACCACAATGTGCATTTCCCACCGGTGCCCTAACCACTGGCCATCCGCCACTCACGCTCTCACAGTTTTTTTTTTTTTTTTTTTTTTTTTTTTAAAACAACACATGGATCACTGCTGCGCGATGCGATAAGAGAGTCATCGAGCAGCAGCAGCCCACCGGCTCCATTCTATTGGTGGGGAGCAGCACCTGCTGAGAATCGGGCTCAGCGCCCTAGAGTACAGGTAAGGAAGCGAAGGTAGGGGGTAGGGGTATCGCAGCTGCCCAAAGGCGGCAGGGCTAGGGCAAGAGCGCATTTCGAGTCGTTTCAATCGGGGCCCCTTCTGTCGGGAGGTGTGAGCACCCAGTCACAGAAGGGGACTCCGAGGCTCGACCAGCCCACGACGTCCAGGACCTAGCCCCTCGCTCCCCCTAGGGATGATACACATATTACTTACGCCAGTTTGGCATCTTGAGTACGATATGTCCAATTGAGTAACGATATTCTATAGCTTGGCAATACTGCCAGCAAGTTAGCTGCTATCCTTTCAGCACTCCACCTTACGGTAGTTACGGGTTGTTCCACTAAGCATCATACCGCCAAAGGTTCATGTCGAACAAATATTGCAAACGAATTAACCCCCGCCCTCAGGGGACGCCCTGAGGACTCGCAACTCATAAACAAAATCTATCAACCTACAGGCCCTTCAGCCGGTACGCCTTCACACTCAGTACTCCCAAGTCATCGGCACTGACAACTCATAAACTAGCAGTCTACCAACCTATAGTCTCTACCGCGGATACCTCTTCACGCTCAGACCTCCCAAGTCCTCAGTACTCCATCTATCAATCAATTTAACTCCCACCAAGCATCTTGCTGTTGCAGGTTCGTGTTTAGCATTCCCTTGCAGTAGGGGCCAGTAACGACCGATAGATGACTTTCGTGTGGACCTGGTGCAGTGGAACCGATCGTCGCTGCAGGCCTTGATGCTTCCAGGCCCACATCGTGGGATCAAGGGCGAGCTGTGCCGGCCGCATCTGTGGTCGGTAGAGGCGGAAGATCCTCTGAGAAGCGCCCCGCTTTTCCTCCAGGACAGTCACCGGTGGCACCAAATCTGCCGGCACCCAGCCATCCCTTCCGGGGCTCGCTTAAGTGGCTGTCCTACCCGTTCCATAGCGGAGGGATTCTCCCACGCCTGCACGCTTAACCAGGAGCCAGAGATGGGTGCACAGACTCGGAAGACCACCTGGGGAGGGTCCTCCCCTGTCTTAAGCACCCATTCCCGGGGGAGCCTGATGTCCGCTCTCAAGGCTACGAGCCAGTGGGCGGGGATGGCTTCCCGAATAGCGGCCAGGCAGGCTTTTTTTGCAGCCTGGCCAGTGAGGAGAGAGAGGACACTCGCCTCCTCTTTCCAGTCTCTTTGCTCTCGGTCCCAGAGATCTGCGATCCTTGCTATCCCTGCCCGAAGCCAGGCCTTGCCGAACGCTCCCTTCTCTCCCGTCCACGGATAAGGCCTGTCTGTCTGGTCGCATATGGCGGGATTGTCGAATAGAGGTTGCTGGAGGATCTGGTCTACAGTCTCCGGGGGTTGCAGCTGTAGCGGAGCAAGCTTGCGCCATTGCGAGAGTGTAGGGGTCCACAAAGCACCGCGTTTGAGGTTCTTCAAGAGTTGGGGCTGGAGCAGCGCCGTCTCCACATCCGCCGGGTCCAGTTTGATAGAGTCGGCCATGGTCTGGAGCGTGACCACTTTCCATGGAGCTGCGTCGTCTTCGAGAAGGAGCCAGAGGATAGAGCGGAGATGCAGGGCGGTGATCTGAGACGAGGGGTCGATGATGCCGAGACCGCCGTAAAGTCATGGCTGGACAAGATTTTGCCAGGAGACCCGACATATCGCGTGCGCAGCGTGGGGGTCATTTCGCCAGATGAATCTGCAGGCCGACATTCGATAGTCTCTAGCGGGGACCGGCTCGGGAGAAGAGAGCGCTCCAGCATACCAAAGCATCGACGAGGCCGTCGCGTTCAGTAATATGGCCCTACCGAAGACACTTGCGCTGAGAGATTTGGCACAGAGCGCAAGCCGTGCCGTAGGTTTAGCCATAAGGGCCTCCATCTGAGTGCCCTCCGTCAATGCATCAGGGAGGACAATGCCCAGGTAGGTTGTGGCCTGGGTCATGGGCTGGACTTTCATACCCTCAAACATGGGGGCTGCCGTCATGTCTGGGAGCAAGGCCAGGGACTTGCGCCAATTGACTCGGGCGCCAGCATGGCGCTCGAACATGGAAATCTGACTTCTAAGCGCCTGCACACTCCGTTTTTCGAGGATAGTGACGGCTCCAGTATCATCAGCAAAGCCAGAGCTCTTCAACTGTCTACCTTGCGGGAGGCTCAGGCCTATAAGCGTGTCATCCGCTCTAAGCATATCATGGAGGTGTTCGACATAGAGGATGTAGAGGGCAGGAGAAAGGGGGCAGCCCTGACACACCGACCTGGTCACATGGATGGAGTCCGTGAGATATCCGTTGATCAACAAACGGGATTGCGCACTGGCCAGCAGCACTCGGACCGCAGCACAGAACATTGGGCCAAGGCCACGCCGTCTCATTCCTTCTAACAAGAACGACCAGGAGACCCTATCGTATGCTTTCTCAAAATCTAGCGACACAAAGGCGACCTGCGGACATTGTCGCGAGGCCTGCCATACTATTTGACGTGCCAGTAGGACACTCGTGTGTATTCGGCGGCCCGGGACAAAGCCCGTCTGAGTACTATCTATTAATTTAGGAAGATGGGTTGAGAGGCGGTTCGCAAGGACTTTAGCCAGCACCTTGTAGGGGGCAGACAACAGTGATATCGGTCTCCAATTGCGGATGTCGTCAGCTGCACCCTTCTTATATACAAGAATAATGGTGGCGAGGCCAAAGTCAGGCGGCAGGCGTTGCTCTCCTTGCCAGAAGGAGTTAAAGCCTTCCAGCAAGTGGGGCAGCAGCAGCTGAGCACATACCTTCAGATGCTCCACGAGCATGCCGTCCGGACCCGGGGCTTTTCGAGCTGGCATGTCAGCCAAGGCTTGTAAGATCTCGTCATCTGTGATCGGTCGTTCCATCTGTCCAGCATCGTCAGCACTCAGCTGAGTCGTAGTTTTTGACCAGACCTCCCTCTCCACGCTGGCTGCGTCGTCGTCGTGAGCATCATTGGTGCGCTCGGTCTGTTCCTGAGTCAGCAGGTAGGTATAATATTGTCGGGCGTATTCGAGGATCTGCGGCGTGGTGGTCGCTGGCGGGAGCCGTTCGTCAAAAGGGGGGTCCAGGGCCTGCATATAAGACGCCGGTCGCTTTGTGCGAAGGGTTCGAAAAAATGTTTTAGTCATCCTCTCCGCCGCCACTGTCCATGCCGTTTTATTTATGAGACCCCAGAATTCTGCATCTTGCATTTGCCACTCATCCCACTCCACTTTAAGAGCCGCCCATTCCATCCACCAGTCTTCCTCCTCTTCTTGGGTGGCGGGCCCATCACCCAGGTCCAGTGCCCGTTGGATGAAGGCGTCCGCCCTGGCTCGCCGCGCCGTCTTTGATGCTAGCACTGCTTGCTTGAGCGTTCGAGCCAGGGCTGCTGTGCCATCCGTCAGCCACTGCAGCGCAGTCTGTTGCGGGTGGCGGAGGGTCAACCAGTACTCCCAATGCTGCAGTGCCATATTAGAATGGTATGTGTCCGCAAAGAGCCAGGCGGGCACCGTGGAGGGAGGGGGCCTAGTCCGAAGTTCAGAGGGGAGTGCTAGAGTTACCATAATCATCTTGTGGTCCGATCTGGCCACCGGGGTTAGCGTGAATTTCTGGAGGCAGTCCAGGGCTGGCCGCGTCATCCAAGCCATGTCAATGCGACAGCATCATTTGAGAGGCGAGGCCAGCCAGGTGAGGCCTTTCTTGTCAGGCCACAGCGCGCGAAATGCATCCGCCAGGCCCATCTCCATCAAAGCTGCCCGCATAGCTCGGCCGTCAGGGGAGTACGCGGGACGGGAGTGTTGGCGCGGGAGGGGGTCCGCTGAGGTGTTAAAGTCGCCTATCAGGATAAGGTTCCCTAAGTCCGGGAGATTAGGAAGCGAAGGTAGGGAGTAGGGGTATCGCAGCCGCCCAAAGGCGGCCGCGCTGGCGGCAGGGCTAGGGCAAGGGCGAATTTCGAGTCGGTTCACATCGGGGCCCCTTCTGTCGGGAGGCGTGAGCACCCAGTCACAGAAGGGGACTCCGAGGCTCGACCAGCCCGCGACTTCCAGGACCTAGCCCCTCGCTCCCCCTAGGGATGATACACATATTACTCACGCCAGTTTGGCATCTTGAGTACGATATGTCCAATTGAGTAACGATATTCTATAGCTTGGCAATAGTGCCAGCAAGTTAGCCGCTATCCTTTCAGCACTCCACTGTACGGTAGTTACGGGTTGTTCCACTAAGCATCATACCGCCAAAGGTTCATGTCGAACAAATATTGCAAACGAATTCCCCTTTCCTTTTGGCAAGGACTGCTCTCACAGTTTTTTTTTTTTTTTTTTTTTTTTTTTTTCCTTTTTTAAAGGTTGTGCAGGTTGGAGACGGCCTTAGGGGGTCCTTGTCGCACGGCCATTGAGGGCAGTCCCGCCAGGCTGGCTGGCGCGTCGAGCCTTCCTACGCTCTCGGAGCGGGTACTACACTCGCCAAGCGAGACCTGCGCAGACGGCCCTGCCCTTAATAGTATCGTATGTTCCACCCCCTTCCTACACCCCTATTGAACCAGTTAAGACCCTCAAGGACAGCACACATACTCAGTGTATTCGTACTGGAAATCAAAATCAATTGAGCCTTTGCCCTTTTGCTCCACACTAGATTTCTGTTCTCATTGAGCTCATCTTAGGACACCTGCATTATTTTCTAACAGATGAGCCGCCCCAGCCAAACTGCCCACCTGACAGTGTCTTTCACTTGGATCGGACAGGCCACGAGGGCCTGCACCTTGGATCGAGAAGCAGGGGCAGAGMCCCGGCTCCACCTCACGAAATAAGTAAAATAACGTTAAGAGTAGTGGTATTTCACTTGCGCCGTAAGGCTCCCACTTATTCTACACCTCTCAAGTCATTTCACAGAGTCGAACTAGAGTCAAGCTCAACAGGGT